AGGCGGAGGTCTTTTCCAAGTTCAAATCGATTTCTTCGAGCAGTAGCGAGCACCAACGAATCGGTCCCGATTCGTTCCGGGGTCGATGTTTGGCTCTCGAATTCGGCGGCTGGACATTGAAGTATACGACCCGACGCGGTGCGTTAGTGAGAGTGTCCAGCTCTGGGGAGAATGGTATGGAAAGTCGGCTTCGGAGCCCGGAGTGAAAGGGGAGCTCGTCCTCCCGAGAGCAAACGGGCAAGAGTTTTGCGGCCGCTGTTTCTGAGGGCTCCAAATAGAATCGTCGCGAAACAGACACACAAATGAACTAAGGTTTTGTTGATTGCGATGATTCCGCAGCAATCCGTTGGGAGCAGCCGAGCGGACTAACTAAGCACTTAAACATGTGAGCGAAGTAGCGAACCACTCGAGTCACCATAGAGTCAGGCACGACGAGAACATTTCCATCGAGTGCAGAGAAAAGCTGCGAAGTTCGGTTGGGAAAGGGATAGGTGGGCCGATAGAGGAAAAATGGCGCCTACTACATAACTGTTGGTATGGCGGGGAATAGATAAGCGGCCGATGCGGGTTCGCGCGTGAGTTCTCTCCGAGGACCTCTACCCGGATTTCGGGTTTTTCCCTTTCGCGCTGCCGGGAAGAATAAAGCATAGGACGACGGAGATTGAGTCTGCCTCCTGAAACGACTCGATCAGAGATGAGTCTAGCTTCTCGCGTCCGCGTAGACAGACGGGAGCTGAAGCACGTTTTGGATGGCCGAGGCGATTGGAAAGTTGGATGTTCGCGAGGAAATCCATCAATTTCGCGCGAGCCCTGCGCTCGCTCATCGTTCTCCGCTCAAGAGAGATGGGAAATCGAGAAACAGTCTATCCCCCTTCTAGTATCCTGCACGGGCTTTTCAAAGTCGCTACAGGATGGAATCCAGTCTCGCTCCATGAATTTTGCTATTCGAAGACTCCCCCTGATAGGGTCTCGCACATCATTCCAAATGGGAGAATCATACCTCATCTATCGGGAAACGGTCCCGAAATTCTGGAACGTCTAATTACCGGTAGCCGAAGCCGTTTATCCGAGGGAAGGCAGCTGCTGCCGACGTAAGGCGCTGCTCGCTCTCTTCTAACGGTACAATATATCATTCTCAAAGTTCCGCGTCGAATACGATTCGGATCCATATATTCCGACGGATTTCAACTTGATTTATGGTCCTGGCTCAGGACGCCCAACTTGACTTGGCGCGACGAGCGTGAACAGCCATAAGTGGATATGAGGCGTATACACATCCGGGTGAACGACTCTCCAATCTCGCGAGGCTCCGCCCCCGCTGTTGAGGAAAGACGGTGCATTCCTCGCGTGTTGAGGAAAACACTGGTAGCGGCAGACTAAAGCGGTAGGCGATCTGTTTTCGGAGGTCGAACGCCCCTTCCGCTGAACCGAGGCTTCCGAGCGCAGCTCGTGTCGCCCCAGTAGAGTTGATGGTTGTTCAAAGGCCTGGTACGATCACAATCATTCTTCCAACGATTGGTGGGGGCTGAAAAACGAACGAATCAGTCCATCCTCCATGAGATTTATGAAACAAGTTATTCGAGGAAAAGTGAGGAATCACGAGCGTCATTGGAGCCGGAGCGAAGTCGACGACAGGACTTCGCTCTCTTTTCATGTTTTGAAGCCGTGCCTACCAAAACCCGGATAAGCTTGAGAGAAGGGACCAGAGTCTTACCGGAGCCTATACGAAGCCTTCCAGGAGGAGCGTGAGACGTTTCTAAAATAAACTTGGTTTTTCTGGGGCCAAGCTCAACTCGGAATATCCTACTCCCCTCCAGGATTTTGCGCTCATCCGAGGTTCTGGAGAAGTTTTCTTCCGCGCGCGAAGATTCTAATTTCCGAGCGATGGTGCAGGGGTGTAGAGGGCTTACGGGCGCGGTTGATTTCGCTTTTTGTTCTCGATAGGTTACAATGGGCCTCGCCGCCAATGTGACTCGCAGTCGATACCTGAACAAAACGTTTCGAGCGGAGTCTTCTGAGGGGTTGCTGCACCGATTCCATCCCTCGAACGAATGAGCGCCTATCAGTTCCTGGCGACCGGAACGCGCACCCCGACGACAGCGACGCGTCAAGAGCATCGGCCCCATCCGTCCTCTATTCGGTGTATGCGCTCGCATAACCCCCCGTTCTTCCGCCCGAACAAGCCGTCGCGTCGGCGTCAGTCGACGCGTATGCTCGCCGCTCCTCCTGGGCAAAACGGGCCCGGATAACTATCTTGAGACGCAGGACCGATACACTTGAGTATATACATTCGCCGGATTCGCGGCGAAACGCTACATGCATAAATTGGAAGGGAAAATTTCCCGATCTACTCGCGCGGGATGTTTTCTTCGGAAAAACTCATAAGTACTCCATCAGACAGGCTGGCCACTGCCGCCGCTCCAGATTCGCCCTCCGGATACGATGCGGCCAGAAACAATGAGAGGCTACCATCATTATGGGAGGGACGTGATGCGTTATCGGAGCTGCACGATGATGGATGTGATCAGAGATCGGATTCCACGACGGCATTAGAGGGACGTGGTGGGGTCTGTCCATGGGAAATCGTCTGACCAGAAAGCCGAGAGACCTCTCGGGTCTCTGGGGGCCTCTCTTCGATATTCCATATTTGGTCATGCATTCAAGAGGTTTCCGCCCCAAGAAGATTCCAGCGATCACGAGCGTGGTGGCTCCTTCAACCTTTCGGCATAGAAGCCGCATCCTAACCTTGAATCTGACTGCACTCCGTCCCGATCAGCGTAAATGGTGTTCCTCCGACAGGGTTTTAGCTCGAAGAGTTCCAGCGCTCGTGGAGCCCTGATAGGCGTGTTCCACCAATTCGAGCAAGCTGTGGCGAGGCTCGACCGAGATTTTTTACAACAAGTGACATCCTGTCACTTCGTAAACTGTTGGTCGAACGAAGCGGCCGACCCACGCGAGCCTCGAACTCAAGCCCGGATCCGTCGGCTGACGCGCATATCGAGCTCGCGTTTGCGTATACGTCAGAGCGAACGCGAAATTTTTTTTTCGCACCGCAACCGTTTGTGGTGTTCAGTATTCACGAACTGTGTAGACTCCGGCAGGGATAAATATCGAAGATTGATGCCGCAGAGGCACCTACGCATCGGGGCCGCTCCGAGCTCTCCCGAAAGTCGTTCTTTGCATGGACATATCTGCGCCGCTTCCGATCGACTTGCGTTTTCTGCATCATACTCAATTTTTCATAATCCGTCCAAAGGGGGTCTGAGGGTTTGCATCCGCCAATCTACGTAACGCGTAGTCCCTCTGAGTTTTTTTTTCGCCACACGGGGTGTTCCTCCGGACTCGGAATCTCGCGAGTCTATCGCGGGCACCAAGCGATTCATAATTCTAGCACAGACGAAAGATAATTCGGCCGCGCTCCGGGATCCTTTTGAATGCGTCTGTGATTGATCGCGCTGCGTTCGGCTCCCCGGGAGCTCGGTTTGTTCGACGGATTCGATCAGGCCGCGTTTTCAAATCCGGATCAATTCGATCTGTGACGCCATTGATGAGCTCGCGTCTCTTCGTCAGTGATTGAGGGTGGCCGGGTTCCGCCCTCCAAGAGGATCGGAAAGACCAGAGACAGGTTTGAGATCAAAGAATTTCCAGGCTCTTTGTTGCCCGGATCTTATCTGGAGGCTGGTGTAGGATGCTGCCACGCCCGATGTCCCGCATTCCTGTGGAGTACAACTCGTTGATTGTAGCGACGAGTTCCACATTCTCAATGAAGGGAAAAGGTCAACAATTAATGTGATCCCATAAGACTCGCTTCAAATGAGCTCCGCCCTCTCAATCCTCTTTCTTTCCGATGTAACATTAATGCGGAAGCAAATCCCTCGCTTGAGCGAGCAAATCGCGCCTTTTGAATCGGAATTCCAATCCAGTACGGCTTAGGTCGGATCGGTGTTTCCGAAGGAAGGAGGGAGAGGATCTTACCGAATCAGTGTGCATCGAAATGTTCGGTGTGAATCGAGAACAGCTTCAGCTTGCGTCGGAGGACGACTCCGCCAGGAAATATATTTTCGTTGGCTCTCCGACACTGTTAAGATGTTATTCCTCCACCTGGCGCCTGAGTCGTCGTTTGGAGCTTTCACGCTGCATAATAAAAATTTCGCTCATATACGTCAATTCTATTGTCGCGCGCGAGCTGAATACCGATCAAGTGCCTTTCACTCTTCGTATTTATATGCATGGATATGCGCAAACAAGCGCCTTTGTCACATTTCTCACCGCGCGAGGGTGTAATGAGGTCGCTAGTCGATCTCCTATTCACCGCGAGAGTTTCTATTGAGCTCCGCATGTAAAAGAGTTATTACTTCACAACCATCCATCGACCCCCTCCGGAGACGGAGGTCGGTAAAGCATTCGCGGTCTTCTGAGGTTTGAAAGTCACTGGAGGTCTTGCACCGCACACTGAAACGACCGTGTCAAGCCGTTGTTCCGAAAGAACGTCGGTGCGGCTTTTCAGTCGTACGTTGACAGTCAACTGCCACTGTCAACGTCTTTCCACTCAAAGATCATTGAATTAGGGTTCCGAGCCTGAGAACACCTGCCGTTCCGATGGTAGTTCCCACCTTCTCTCTCCCTGTCCGTTCATCTGTCAATCCTTGCGTCTCGTCTTGTTAGAACAGATCCCGCGTCACCGACATGAGAAAACCCTGTTCGGCTGCCGAGTGGTTCGTTCTCACTCACTTACGAGGAACGAACATTCGACTTGTTGGAGCTCGAGCTCGATACGACAGGAGAGGCGAAAAAATTTCGTCGTCCAGCTACGCGGGAATCGCCTCCTGACTACTCGAGAACGACGTGGTCAAGTGCTCCTGATCGGGCCGGTCGCTGTTCGATCGATTAATCAAATACTACCTAGTAGTACCTGGCATAGACATATCTACTGTCTGCTGGACTGTTGAGAGCCTCGAGAAAGCCTCCAGAGAATCTAATCGGTGACCTTTTCCTTCCAGGTGAGCAACATGTTCATCATGAGCCTTGCCGTCGCAGACCTGACGGTTGGCCTCATTGTGATGCCGATCTCATCCGCGTACGCTTTAGCGAACGAGTGGCAAATGGGCGACTTCATATGTCTCTTCTGGCTCTCGGCCGATTACACCGCGTCCACAGCATCCATTTTGAATTTGTTCATTCTGAGTCTTGACAGGTGAGTGCAAAACTGAGGCCTCAAGGGCGGACGCTCTGTACCTCTGGGATCTAAGCCGATTCCCCGTTCCTCTGCTGCTGGCGTTTTTGTCGTTCGTGCCTGGATCATGGGATCACAGCCCGAACAATGTACCGTTTCCCTCAGTGAAACATTCTTGGGCGACCTGGGGTATTCTGCTCAAGAATCCTGTCGCCAGTTATTCGAACAAACAAGTCGACTCCGGTATTCACGTCCTCCGGGACATTGGAAGGAAGAAGATTCATTCCTCGAAGCGACACCAACGTTCCGAAGCTCAGAAACACTCAAGCTCAGACAGTGAAAAACCCAAATTCTCTTTTTCATGGAGTGGCTTTTTCATGCAATGTCCGCGCAGTACTGATCGCTAGTGCGGCTGTACAGAGCAATTGAGGCTTCGACCGATGGTTTATCGATGTTTCTCGATCAGCTGTTTCAACCCGACGTCAGATCTAGAGAACCGATTGGATTGTCTGTTTGTCGCGATTTCCGCGCCCTCGTTCAGTCAACCAGGGAACAGGGACTTAATTGGGGTTCATCGGCTTTTCCATTCCCAGAGGGGTCAGGCGAGCGACTCGGTATCCCAATAACGAAACCAGGACATGGTAGGAATCTCTCCGACGATTTGTTTTGTCTCCCTCCCCAGATACTGGAGCATAACATCACCTTTGCGTTACATGCGCAAACGAACGAAGAAAAGGGCGTTAGTGATGATCGCTTTCGTGTGGTTGGTGTCGGCCATGTGGATAATTCCAATCGTGTTCTGGGAAGACTGGGACCCAGACACCGTCGACGAACTCCCGGCGAGCTCGGCCGAGAGCAAATTCTCGAAAAACTGCGATACTAAGTTCAGCGACAACGTTCTGTTCAAGCTGACGGCTTCGACGCTCAACTTCTACATTCCCATGGTGCTCATGATCGTGTTGTACTTCAAGATCTTCATGGAAGTTAAGAAGAGGTCCAAATTTGCCATCGGCGAAAACCAGATCTGTTACGCAACGCAGGCAGTTTGCTCGTCGCCCGGCCGCAGCATTTCGCGGAAGGCGTTGGCCAAGGATGTCGACTTCGTCAGCGAGGACAATGAATCAATCTCCGCACACGAGGAACCGAACAAGGTCGGTGGGACGCCCAGCACTTCTTCCGGTTCGAACAACCACAAGCATCTTGTCGTGGCGTCGGCCGCGACGGCCACGTCGACGCGGCCGGACAAGGGAAAGAGACGCAAACCAGAAGAAGACGGACTATCGTCTGAGAACCCTCCCGACTGGGAAGATGAGGGCAGCGGTAATAGCCCCGAAAGCAATAAAAGCACCGTGGTCGTCTCAAACACGTGCACGCCTTGTCTGATGCACGTGCGGAACGACGCCCCGGTTGAACGTAAACGCAACCCCCCCGCCGGACAGGGATCTACATCGACAAGCGCAGTGGTGAGCGACTCCATCTGCGACTTGCGCTCCATAAATCTAATTGCGACTAAGGGCCCACGGTGCTGCGTTGTGTGTTTGTAGCGACACGGCGATGGAACAACCGTGGGTCATGCAGCAACGACTCTGAATTTTTAGACGGAGTTTATAATGGCCGTGTCCTTTCAGATTATGCCAAACTCGAATGGGAATAGTAGTTTTTACTTTTCTAAAAAAAAGAGAAAACGCGACGGGAACTCTTTCCGCGAGAGCTATGAACTCGAAAAGGTGAGTAAGCCTCCGGTAAAAATCTGTCGTTCGTCCGTCGGTCGTTCGTTCGTTCGTTCGCTCTTGCAGAGCTTTCATGCCGTTGTCAGCCCGGGTTCGGCTTTAATTCACTAATGGATCACCGTGTTCCAGGTGCCTCGAGGCGGCTCGAACGCTTCTACCCCAGTGGAAAACGCGTCTACGGGTAACTCCATGAAAAGACAGCGGCCACCGTTCCGTCTCAGGGTGACAAGGAACAACTACGCTGCGAATTTGGGACAGCAGAAGAAAGCTGCCAGACAGCTCGGTGAGAAATTTCTTCAATTCTTCTGAAGGGCCGGCCGATATCCGTCCAAAGCCGTGATACGTCTCGCGTAATGGATGCACGAAATATTCGGTAGCACGGAGCCAATTCCTCAATTTTGACGAGGGAGCACGCCGAATCAGCGCTCAGACTCATTGTAGAGGAGAAACTCAGTTATCGATACGGCTGATTCAATTTTCGGCAATCGCATCTCGCGAGAAGAATCCCCAGACCTGATGAGTCCATCGACTCCATCTGCACGCCCCTGGAAACGAGAACAATGTCCCCCACGTGCTCGATTCCGAATTCATACTCCGGAGACTGCTGTTGCGAGTTGCCGGAGGGATTCAGGAACCTCGAACAAAAGACGGTGCTCAGCGGAGGCCCGAATGAAACTGAGTCCAGATCCACGATCAAGAGGAAGGCAGAGGATCCGCGAAGCTCGCGGCCTCCCCGTGGATCAATCACTAGCCCGGCACGTCGGTTACCGGAGCACGCCCGCATCGATCGATTCTCTGCCGAGATGAGCACTTTCACCATGCGGGAGGTTTCTCTGCTTGTTTTCAATCAATTATTCTCGTTCTCGCCGAGCGGATCCGCGAAACTCGACTGACGGTAGCGAATTCGTACTCCCGAAGAAAGATGCACCGACTCGTCCCCACTCGCCCGGAAGCTCAAGGAAGTTGGTGTATCTACCTAAATTCGAATCTAGGCCAGTGGCTCTCCGAAGGAGCGCCGCGGCTCGGCGGGGAGTGCTCGGCGAGCTCCGGGGGAGGTCTTTGGGAGCTTCAGGAGACGTAATTTCCGAGTGCCCCAGAATGAAATCTGGATGAAGAGGTCCGAACTGGAGACACATCACTGCTTTGTGTTTACGTCCTCGAGCCATGTCGCTACTTCACATAGCTTGCTCAGAGGAGCCGCGGGGGTCATCGCTGGCTGAGAGGGACCACTTCTATCGAAATCGAAATAGAGCGACCACGTTGACATGGTCCCATTTTGTTGAGAACTCCGCCTGTCTTCCCCTCGAGATTTTGAAATCAGACCCTGTAAACCAGACTTTGCAGCTTCTAAAAATGACACTCGTACCCCTGATCGGACAGACACTCATGCTCCAAAGGACGGGATGCGATTCGCGCGATACATTGTTTTAGATGGTTTGCTCATTAGATTCGTTGATTCTCGGCTTGCGGTCATTGCGTGCTCGATGATGCGAGAAGAGGATCGCTCCTCAGGCGGAGTCCGCTGCCTCTAACCAGAGTCTCCCGAGGCGCCTGAGCGCGCGGACTAATCCTCGGAGAATTTTTCGGCGGTGAGCTGCCTCAAGAACGGATATCGGGTAGCGAGCCCCCTCCCCGGAATACCCAGGCAGGCTCCACTGCTGCGGCCGCGAGAATCCATCGGCGAAATTAGCCTGAGGTGTGAACGGGCCTCTTGACAAACAGGAGCGACCTCATCCATGATTCGGATCAATTATGATTCGGGAAACTCGACGGTGCTCTCTCGAGAAGTTCAGACTCGCGAGAGATTATCATTAGTTCCTCTTCTCTGTTTCAGGCGTTATCATCGGCGCTTTCGTGGCGTGCTGGCTGCCCTACATTGTGGTTTTCATCACAACGGCTATTTGCCCGGCGTGTATTTCTTCGTCGCTGCATACAACCGTGATATGGTTGGGGTATCTGAATTCGACAATTAATCCATTTCTGTACGCGTTGTGCAACGCCAACTTCAAAATAGCCTTCAAAAAAATGTTCTGTCACCACAATCCGCACGCGTTCATGCTGGGTCATAGATCCGTGGACAACAAAGTCGATAACAACATGTTTGCGTGACTCTATCTTCCTCTTATGCATTTCTTCCAGAATTAATCGTATCTAGTTCCTCTGCGTGACGCAGAAGTCCCAAGATCCGTGTTCGACGAGAAATAAGCTACTCTCGTTGGATAACGGCATCACTTTTCCATCCTCGAAGTATTTTTCTACGAAAAAATGATTATTTTATTGTCAACGACGACGGGAGGAAGTCAGTTTTCCTCGCAAGAAACAACGGAAAGGTTAGCTTTCAAGCGGATATCGAGATCTCAGCCAGTCCCGTCATTGCTCAATCGTGGCGTAATCTTGATTCTTTAGATGTTAGAAAAAAAGCTCTATGGAGCTCTAGAAACTGTTTATTATTGGGAGACACCAGTATCCGCATATCATGACGGGCTATGATTTCGGCGATTCTCGTGGAATAGGTATATTGCGACCCAGCTTATGGGTTCAGAGCACGGATATATGTACAGAAGACGAAACTCGTCTCGCAAATGAAACTTTGTACATCTTTGTTAACTGTACATACCAGGCTCCACTTCAAGTGAGGTGCCGTGATGTTGTTATTCAATAAAAAAATGTCGGATCTTGAGATCGTACGGAGCTGTCGTGACCATTTTCAAACCGCCATCGCGCTGCTGGTCCGGCGAGTCCTCTCGTCCAGATGGGCCGAGAGCGCTGGACTCCATTCGAGTCGAGTACAGTTGAGCTTGCGGAAAAAGAATGGATCGTCAAGATCCATTTGCTGAATCGTTTCCGTCGAGTGTGCCTTTGATTTTCGTCTGTTTACAAAGCTTAATCAATGTCGAAAGCCTTCAGAAGTCGGAACAGTCTACACACGTCAGCCGACACGCTCGAGATGGCAATTTGTCATCGTTAGCACTCGATAAATTCCCGCAGGGTCTGCCACTCGAACGATTTGCAGAAGTTGAAGCCGTGGATTCTCAGAGAACACGGGGTTGCTCCCTCGCTGACAATCGGAAAGCAAAATCGAAGAACGGGAGGAGTTCTCGGTATTCGATGGGCTACTGGCGGAAATATACATATAATGATCGCTCGACGGAGGAATGAGACCGACACTTTCTCGAAACAGAGACTTCCTGCTCTGGCTTTCGATTTTCCATCGGGTATCCAAAATTAGGCAGATAATGATGATTGACCTTTTTGAAACTTCCGAACACAAGTCGACAATAATCGATTCAATACCGCTCGAACGTCGGGTCGCTCACTTGGTGTATCCCCACGTAAGATCGATAAGCTCGGGCAGTACCGCAGTGCTCGAGAATAGACCTAGATTTAATTCCCGCGAGAATGATCCGCAAAACGCCGACCTATTCTCTGATCCTCGGATAGGGTCGAGGACGCTCTCCTGCCGGCAGATGATTCATCTAAGACGACTGCTGTACAGAATTCGACCATTCGGATGATTTAAGGTACTCATCTTCAACAACACTCAGAGGTTAATGGCGTGAATGAATTTGAGGAATACGCCGGCCGGTCGCTGGACTTACAGTCTCCGATTACATATAATGTACATATTGCCTGGAGCTCGGCAATTCATATCGCTGCATATGCATAACTTATCCGATACCGAGCGAAAGATCTCAGTACGGGAGCAAGGTCTCTCCGGCGTCAAATTCATTCTGAATAAATGCAGAACTCCACCCCATTCGCGAGTCCGATCGACTGGTTTCTCCGCGCGAAGCTCGAACAATAGCCATATCGTCGAGAGGAGTGTTGCTCAGCGTTTGAGTTCCCCGCCTCCCTTAGAGTCGTCTTCTCTATCGGACCGGTCGATGACCAAAAGGACGAGGGCCATCGATTCGGAAGTCGCACCGAAACGTAGAAATGAAGGTCTCGGTTCGCGCCCTGATGCTCGGTGGCATTTTCGAATCGGCTGAAACGTCGCCGCAGACTGTTGCGGGACCTCCGTTTTTGCTGACTTTCTCTCTCTTGCTGCTCTCAGTTCCGTGGCTTTCAGTGCCGTTCGAAGGGGCGAGCAGAACGCCTCCAGCAGGGAAAAACGAGGGCGAAGGGATCCCAGTGAGCTTTTCATCGTAGCCTGTGGGAACAACAGCGAGAAATAGGGGAGAATATAGAGAACGCCAATATGCTTCGGTTGCGTTTCTCCGCCGACTGCCCGTCTCTCCGACTGCTTTCCTTAGCCCATTGCTGGCATGAGGCGTGGGGAGGGGGGTCAGACCGGCTGGCAGACGGAAAGGCGGTGAGACGGCGGGCACGTCGATGCAGTCATTCGCGATCCATCAGAGAAGCTTTCAGGAAAGGTGAATCGTTCGCCGCGTCGGTTACGCTCAGCCTCTTTCGATTTCGCTCAACAGAGCTCGGACTCGAGAGCGGGCTCACTTGTGCGTTCGCGTTCTCGGTCGAATCCAATCGGCGCTTCTGCCTTCCTGTCACATGCACATCATTTCCGAGAACTTCTGAACAGCTCAAGCTCTGGAGCTCACAACAATTTCACAACACGTCCACGCGAACGAGCTGTCTCTTGCAGAGCTGTTTTTCTCCGATCCGAAAAAAATCCACAGCTGAGGGCTGACGACTTGTTGAACCTCGGAATCGCCAACTGGCCCAGTCGGAATCAGTTTTCATCGCTTGCTGCCGACGATGCGGGGATGATCTAAAAACTTCGTTAGGAACTCTAATGAATGAATTGACTCGGTTTCGATAAGTACCTACAGCTTCCTCCCTCCCTCTCAGTTCGCCATTCGTAAGAGGCAAGTAAGCTCCGAGTCTTCAATCTCCAGTGATGCGGTGTCGGCCGATTTCTCGAGCGACTCCAGCGCTATCTCGGTGTGCGCCCCATCCATTATGCCACCACAATCCTATCAGCACAGACCTCAGAGCAATCAGACCCGCGGCCCCGAAGACGATGGAGTCGACCGGTCGCGGAAGGTGCGTTGCCCATACACGCTTCCGGAGCTTTCGGCAACGACGGAGGTCAATGGACTCGCACGCGTGCCATCCTCGCGGAAGCCATTAGCTCTACCGTATAAGGGCTCTCTCTCTTTGTCTCTTCCTTTGTCTCATTCGAATACTTGCAAGGCGTGAAAGAGACATGAACCTGTACGTACGACAACGAAGGTCGTACTCTATCTGATGTCGAATCTATTCATTACGACCCGCTCGACTTTCCCCAAGACAACCGAACACCGAAGGACGTGGGCTCGCTCCCCTACGATCACTCTTTGACGAATGACGAAGCCATGTCAATGTTCCACTCTTTTGAGCTCTTCCAGCCAATCCGAGCAAGGAGTCGCGAGAAGTTTCCGCTTCTGATCTATATGAAGAAGACCCAGCTGTTACTGGCAGCGGATATGAGACCAGTCAAAAGATTCTCAGATCCGCCGCTCTGTGAGTAGTCCTAACGAATGATGTCCCAATCCTGGGGTTGACACAAGAGCTTTTTGATCGCAACCGATGGGTATTGCTGATAGACGGGAATCGGAATCGTTCAAGGAACGCTTGTCTCGGACCACCCCGTAAAGGTCTTCGAGACCGAGTGCGATCAATGGCGCTGACGAAACCTCTGGCGTCTTCCGGAGGTATTCGGGAAGAAATCACGAGGAGGACTCCTCCCCGTTGAGATTCATAGGATTTCAAAGAATTCTTCCCCTGGGCAAGATTGCGCTCTGCCCTCCGAGCTGAGCGTTGATACCCCTCGCCCTGCGCCGGTGTGAAATTCGGACGAAGTCCGGGGCCAATGCAGAGTCAGAGGGCCAATCGAGATTCTCAAACTGCTGGAAAGATCATTCACCATCGCTTTCTCTAGCTCCCTGGACCGGGAGAAATCGCGACGGCCCCTATTGTAGAGCCCCTTCTCATTCAGACGCGAGGCATGTCCAAGTGGCCTTGAGTGAGCAGGCAGAAATGAATCCTGCCCAGGCCCGCTATTCGCAGGAGATTCTGAAGGCGCCTCCAGCACGGTGAGAATCGCCGCCATCGCCGACTGGAAGCCCCAAATGTCCTGTCTCCGATGCCAAAAATGCATGGCCTCTCTCGGCCGAACCTTCTGAGCTTCAAGGCCAATCTAACCGCAGGGGTCTAACTCCAAAGTGAAGCTACCAACGAGCTGAAACGTATTTGGGCGAGATTTGGGTTTCCGCAACCAGCCCGGTTTTTCCGGCGGCAAAGGCTGGATTCCCCTAACGGAAATTCTGTCGGCAGGTCTCAGAGGGTGTGTTCCTTTCTGGAACCCCAACAGGAACATTCTCATAGACCAAGCGAGCCACACCTCGAATGCACTCGTCTCCGGGTCTATTGGGACTTCTTTCATTGACTCGCTGACCGATCCGATCAAACCCAGGATCGAGGCTAGCGCCGATCCGAGCTTGACGAAAAAAAAATCATCTTTTCGTCCATTACAAAGATTAATCGAGACTATAAAAACCCGTCTCGGCCTTGAACGATGAAAGAAGGATCAGGATTCACGCTTCAGTATCGGTCGTATGCGATGAACGCATATGATTAGGTAGATAAGAGGCGCGGCATAAAAGGAACCGTACGGCACGGCCCCGAACGATACTCGCACACAATGTATACATACTGTGTGACTTCTGGGAGCCTGCTTTTCACAAGGACGATCGATCCCACGAGAAGGCACCCATCATGGCGAATTCCTCATCTCCCGCATCTCATCACAAGCTCCAGAGGCGTAAATATTATATGACGATTCGGGCTATAAGTGGAGGGATCTGGCTAGCGCTTGAGCGAGCAGGAGCGAGTCCGTGTTGCTCATATTACTTTCAAGAGCGATTCATCTTCAAGAAGTTGGTGAGTAGACCGAATATCCCGTAAGGTCGAAGTTGCTTTCGCGAGTCCAATATAAATCTCATTTGGCGTAGACATCACTCATTTGGCGTAGATCTCGCTCAAAGGTCCTTCACGCGACTCGGCGGGAACGTTCTATTGGAGCATCTACAGCTCTTTCTGCTTGGCTCGTCAAAGCTCTCCCAGCGGGAGCGGGGGAACAGTGGTGGGACAGGAAAACACGCCAACTCTGAATCCGCCTCAACTTTATTCACGCCTTCCACATCTTCCGGCATTCATCCTCAGATTCAGAGTTTTGGTCGCGAAATTTCTCACCAGGATAGTGGAATCTTAACGATGCAGCAGGACGTCACGCAAGAAAAGAGCTGTCCCGCACGGGCGTGGGTGACCACCAGGTGCGGT